GAGTTAATTGACCATTTGCAGGCTGTATTTTTCAGTATTGGGAGCCAGGCTTTGTTGAGTTTTAGACCTTCTTCTTCTTTTTTGTTGAAGCTCTTTGGCCGTGTTCTGAAGGTTGTTCTTCCTGACGTTTCGCCAGTTGGAGAATCATTAAAATCCCATAAAACGAAGCATGGCCAAGAAAACGCGTGCTATCAGTTAAGTCTTCCAACAGTTGGAATCCTAGACCATGTCAAGAGCCAGTTGAAAACATGTCTTCACACCTTTCCTAAAAGCAGTGAGGATGGAATCCAGCTGTGACTCTGGGCAGCCCATTCCGTGAGCGGGAGGAAACCTTTCCTTCCTTATATCTCAGGCGGGCCTCGGTAATTTCAGGAGAGCCTTTCCTGAAGGTCTTAAGAACTGGAGAGATTTGGGTGTTGGAAGATCACGGCATGTAATCAGGTCAGCAGCCGTTCGTTGGACCGGGTGGTGATGGAATGAAAATGGATGTGTGTGCCAAGAAACCCTGAGACTGAAGGATTTTCAGTCTCAGGGTTTCTTGGCACAGACTCTTGACTGCCTTGTTTCTGCTGAAAGTGTATCAGGCAGAGGGGCTGGAAAAGATTCTTTCCCTGGACCATAAAAAGGTGAGACCTTTGGAGTTTTCTTTCTTTCTTTCTTTCTTTCTTTTTTTTAAATTGCAGCTGTCAGACTTCTGATAGGAAAAAAAGATTTACAAGCTCAAGAGAAGTGAGTGCCAGACACACAACAGTCAACGCTGAGTTGGCTGGACCAATGGTTTCACAGATCCACCAAGTATTTTAGCCCGTTGTACTGCAGCTACCCAGTGAGAGAAATCAGATTTCACTCCTGGTGAAGTTGTACCAGGGAATCTGAGTTTTCCCAGGTCTGTTTGAATTCATTGGCCCCACAGGGAGAGGAGGAAACTGATTAAGCAGCCTTGCTTGCATCTTGTTAATGTAGCTCTTTTGTTGCCCTGCAGGAGGTGCAGCTACAGAAGAACTACTGCATAAGCTGTAAACAAGGGCAGAGTGGCAATTTCCTCCTCTCGGTATTTAGGTGCCCTAGTGCAATAGCACTAGCACTGAGCTGTAGAAAGAAAGAAAGAAAGAAAGAAAGAAAGAATTACTTGCAAAAATCTCACTCTTGTGATGGTTTAGTTAATGAGGAAGGTCAAGGAAGGTTCATTTCTGAGATAAACAACCTTCTGTTCTTAGTTTCCCTGAATTTTTCCTTTCTCTAATTGGAAGACAAACTTGCTGGATGAAATTCCTGGGAATGCTGTAGGCAGTTCTCAGCTACTGCCCAAGTCACTCTAGAAATACATATTCCAATTTGGTCCAGTTCTGCATGTTTGCCGGAAGAGAGACCACACATCCTTCATTTGTACAGTACATCCCTTCACAGAATGGCCTTTCACATCATGTTGAAATATGGGGCAGGATGGGATCAAAAGACAGCATTGGAGGCCAGATCTTCGAAAATTGCTTAAGGGGTGTGCATGGGCGGGAAGGGAAAACGCGTGAACCAAGGTGACAGGGTCTGACTCAGGGTTGTTCATCAAGCTGTTGGGTGTGCAAACAATCTGGAAGAATAAGCTTAAGAAAGAAAGTCATTAAAAAAAAAAGAATTGTCAGGGGGACAGACTCCAAGATCAGACTTATACAAGAACTGTGTGTCCTGCAGAGTTTGAAAGGCGCCAGAACTGCAGAAAACATGTGCTTAAGGGTGTCTACATTTAGAGAAGTAGGGAAAGATTTGTTACCCCATCTCCCACACGGTGGTGGTTTGATGTGCACCAGCTTTTTGTTCCGTTTGAGAGGCATGTGCAATTGTGTACTGGATTAAATCTTTGGGACTCTCCCATCTTGATCAGCTGGCAGTGGAATAATCAGGCCCAGTGTCAGCTGCTCAAGGATGTGTATCTCTCCTGGATCCCCCCCCCCAAAAAAAAACACACAGAGATCATACTTGGCACACATGAGAACATTTTGAAGCACATCAGAGTCTCAATTCTGCAATGTTGCAGTATTGCTGTAATAACTGCAATGTTTGACGCCCACAGCATAAAACATTCTGGTTTAACAAGGTCTTTAGAATACATGTTTTTGTCCTTTGCCATGTGGCTTCGAAATTTGCATCTTCATTTCACCATCCCTCTTCAGGAAAGGAATCAGCTGATTTTATATCCTATTTAGTAGAAAGGCATTCCTCAAATGGAAAAGCCAGTTTTGCTGCCGCCATGTTCTATAGCACCACACAAAGTGTTGTTCTCTGTGGCCTGTACGGATGTGAGACATATTTGAAGTGGGTGGTGGTCCAGGGGAAGCTCTCAAGATGAATTTCACACATAGTGATATCCAGATTATCCTCCAGAAAGCTAATTATGCCACTTACAGCAGCTGTTTCTACATAAATGTTGACTAGTGGCTGAAAAAAATATTGCTACGGGCCAGAAGGAAATAATGATAAATGTGTTCTTCAGTCTGATTAAGTGAGAAGGAAGGTGTTGCTTCTGATTCATGAGTTTTTCCAGGTAAAGCTTCAGTCTCCTTCCTTTTTCTACTTGGTGCCAAAAGAATTTGGAATTTACTCAGATTCACATCTAAAGTTTTCTTCAAACTGTATTGCTCTTCTTCTTCTTTTAAAAGCTGCTTCTCTTTGAGAAATCTCAGACTGCAGGACATAAAAAAATGGGCTCAAGCAACAGAAAGCTCAATTTAGTCTGAAAATCAGGAAAAACTTCTGAACTGTTAGAGCAGTACGACAAACGGAACCCATGACCTCAGGAGGTGGGGAGCCCTCCAACTCTGGAGGCATTCAAGAGGATATTAAGACAGCCCTCTGTCTGATTTGCTTTGATTTGAATTCCCAACTCCATGATTCAGTGATTCTATTTTTAAGAATAACTTAAGAAATAGATTTCATTCCTGGAGGTGTGTTTCTTTGTTTGTTTGCTTTTTTTGTTTTGAGTGCTGGTTGAAGGCTTCCAACCAGATGGATTTCATGGCAGACGTCAACTTCAAGCAGGCTAAGCACTGTAGCGCTAAATCTCTTCCCTATTTAAGCAGTAGATCATCTCTTGGGGCAGGGGAGGCTTTCTGAATCCTTGACATCCTCCTTCCCGGGAAAGCATGACCGGATGAAAGCTGGGAGCTGCCTCGGGTCCTTTCTAGGAGAAAGGCAGGGTAAAAACATCTTAAATAAAGACATAAGAAATCCACAGGCACGGGAGGATCTGGTAACAAGCCTCCTCCCATCTTTAAGTTGGGAGATTCTTTTATTAGATCTATAAATCTATACCTTGTCTTTCTCATTTCTTCTGTCTGAACACTCTTGTGGTCTTTCACCTTCTGTCCCTTCTCCTCCTCCTCCTCCTCCTTTATCTCATCCCACTTTATTAAATCTAACTCCACCCACTTCTGTCTCCCCTCAGCTAAGAATACAGTAGTGCCCCGCTTGACGATTACCCCGGTAGACGATGAATCTGCTTTACAATGAGGTTTTTGCGATTGCTAATGTGATCACAAAATGATGTTTAAATGGGGAAAAATCACTTTACAACGATCAGTTCCCTGCTTTGGGAACTGACTCCTCGCTAAATGACGATTTTAAAACAGCTGATCGGCAGCTCTCAAAATGGCCGCCCGCTGTGTTTAGGATGGGTTCCTCGCTTAACAGGCACCAGAAAATGGCCACCCTATGGAGGATCTTCACTGCACGATGAGGTATTACGCCCATTGGAACGAATTGAACCAGTTTTCAATGCATTTCAATGGGGTTTTTTTTAACTTTTTCTTGACAACAATTTCATTCTACAGCAATTTTGCTGGAATGGATTATCATCGTCAGGCGAGGCACCACTGTACTTCGACCGCTTTGATCCTCCCCATTTCCCAATCACCTATTTTAATTAGTTTTCCCACGATACACCCATCAGTCACTCCTTGCTGTTTCTCCGGGGAGGACAGCACACTTGTTGGTTCTCTCCCACCCTTTCATAAGAATATTAAACAATCTGCGTTTCATCCAATAACTCTCTTTTCTAAGCTTTAGATGTTTCGAGTGTTGAAATTTTGAAGCCACGAGACAAACAGAGACATCAGTGCGAGGAGAGGCATCAAGGGGGTGGACGCAGAACGATGAAGACCTCCGAAGAAAGCCGAACCTCCCACCGGAGGGGCTTTCGTGATCAGGAGCCCACCGACAAAAGGGGGCCTGCTTGGGGTGGAAGCGGCTCATGGCTCAACAGGGAACAGATTGCAGGGCCTCGGGTGATGGTCTGAGTAGACCAGCATCATCCCCTTCCTTTTTCTGCCCACCCTTCCCCCACCGGGGTCACCGTGTTGTTTGGTTAATGGAGTGAAGCTTTCCTTTCAGAACTGGGGGCTGTTTTTGACTAGTTAATGGGTAACTCGGTGCGAAACAGCTGCAGAAAAGGTTGTGCCCAGCCATGCCAGGACAGGGAGATGGTAGCCGTCCAAAGCTACTTTTCGTGGCATATCACTTTGGTTGCCATTTCTTTCTTATTATTGTGTTGTTGTGGGCTTTCACGTTGCCGCCGATGTATGGCAACCCTAAAGCCCTGCTCTTAGCAGTCCTCCTCAGTGGGGGTCAGTCCATCTTGTGGTTGGTCTCCCTCCTTTCCTGCGGCCTCCTTTCCAGCACGAGGGTCTTTTCCAGAGAATCCTTTGCTTTCTCGTGAGGTGTCCAAAGGAGGACAAGCTCCGTTTCAACATTTTTGCCTCCAGTGAGAGTTTAGGCTTGATTTGTTCTAGGACTCCCTTGTTGGTCTTTCTGGCCAACCAAGTTGTTCGCGAAGCTCTCGTCCAGCACCGCATTTCAAACCAATCCATTTTTCCCTCCCCTGACAGCTTTCTTCACCATCCAGCTTCCACGCCCATCCATGGGGTGATCAGAAAGACGAGTCTTGATCTCCGTGGACTCCCTGATGATCCTGACTTTGAGCTGAACTGTTTTCATCCCTTCTTGTCTTCCAGGACGGTCTTGAAACATCGACCTCTGATAGCTACGCAGCAGCAACAACAGCCGACACGACGGATCTGAAATGTAAAATGATGGATGCAGACACGGTAAGAGGCAAGGTTGAAGGTGAATCTAAGATGGAATTATATTTTGGAAAGCCAAGCTGTAGAAGGACCAGAAATATTCTAAGTGCAACCTCAAGACAGTGGCTGAAATCCCATTGCTTAGTGTAATAAGTCGCAACTAGAGGAGGCTGATACAGTGGTGCCTCGCTAGACGATGATAGTCCGTTTCATTGAAATCACTGTTTAACGAAATCATTGTCTAGCGAAAAGCAAATCGCTGTCTAGTGAAAATTGGTTTGGGAAGCAGGGACCAAACATTGTCCAGCGAAATTCCCCCATAGGAACCACTGTTTTGCGAATCGCTATAGCGACTGCAAAAAGTCAATGTCTAGCGAAAAAACTGTCATGCGGGGGTAACTGTCTAGCGAGGCACCACTGTACTCTGGTATAAATTTACAACTACAGTCGGCCCACTTGAATCGATGGGACTTATGGAGGCATTAACTCCCCGAATCACCACTGATTCAATGAGCATACTCTAGTGGTGACTTACTAAGTTCAGCAACATTATTTCCTCCCGGGTGTGTTAAGCGAGCGGGGGAGTAAACATTGGGACTGCTCTGAGATGGTGGTTCCTCCTCTCTCCTGTTTCTCAGGAAGCTGAAATTTCTGAAATTTTGAGGGTAGCGTTTAGCATTCTTGCATTTCTCACATGCCGTGTTGTGAGCACGGTGAGAATTGTGTTTGGCTGTAGAAATAACAAAGAATATCCGCGCAGTTTCTGGAAACAGTCACCGTGGGCTCCTTCTCTCCCACCGCCCCTCTTCCCTCTCCGTCCTGCAGGGCTTGGTTTGGTGCGGCAGGAAAGGCGTTGCGTGAGGGTTGGAGCAGGTAACTCCTGAGCGACGGGGGCTAGTTTACGTCCCAGAAATTAGGAGGCCTCCAAATTTGCTTCCTCCGTCCCAGTTGAGACGGGCTGTCTGCTGGGGCAATCCGGGCTTCGTTTTGGGCACCATGAGGCCAAACTCTTTTCGTTCATTTAAGCTTTCTATACTCATCCAGTGTCCAGCACACTTGTCCAGCTGGTTGAGGCCAAGAGGCTGTTCTGAAACCAGCCAAACCAGGGAGCTGGACAGGGGACAGATTGTCTTCCGTGTGGAAGGGATGGTCACTCTCGTATTGGCCTCCTTGGCCACACTAGACGCTGTTCAAGGCCTCCGTTCAGAGCGCGTTGCCAGAGTCTCTTGAGATGGAAGGATGCCTAATCCAGTCCAGCTCATCAAATAAACAGCCTCTGGCAATGGCTCTAATAACAGGTGATACGAATGAAACTGTAATTAAATAAAGTGGGAATTAAGAACAGAGTACAGATTTGCTGTGTAAGCCACTTGGATTACATTGTGCGTTGGCTGGTACGGCCGCCATCCGTGAACAGCACAGCAGTTTCTGCATCTCAGTTCTGAATGAAGCTGGATTTAGAATGGGCTGGGTGCACACATGTTAACAGGCCTTTGCTTGCTCATATGTTTGTTGGTTCCTTCCTTCCTTCCTTCCTTCCTTCCTTCCTTCCTTCCTTCCTTCCTTTGTATCACGTCTTCCTCCCAACAAAAGAAGCCAAGGTAACTTACAAACGATTTAAAAACCAAATATTTTCCCAAATCCTGTTGAGATGTGCTATTTTTGGTTTCTCATTTTGCAACAGCACACTACAGTTGGCGCAAATCTCCTGATGAACTGCTGCGAGTTAAGAAGCCAGGGTAGGCATTCCCAGTTATGCTGCTCGGCGCGTGACTGAGCATGCAGCAAGAAATGCCCGTTAACTCTGTAGCTTGTGCCCGTTCACCAGGGAGAATTCTGTTAATTGCATTCCATCGGCTACTGTAATGGATGCCACTTTGGCCTTGGCTGTGAGGGTAGCTAAAAATACAAGCAAATGCAAGATGAAGGTAACAGTCGTATGGGTTATAATTACAATGGCTGGAAAAGCTCCCACTGAAACCAGTTTTAGAAAAACTCATCCCAAGAGATGAAAAAAACAAAATTAGGATGGGCTCCTGCCTGCGTGGGTTGAAGAGGGATCTGTCAAACCCCTTTGTCTGCCTCCCCTTTCTCGCTGCTGGCCACCCTCCGCCCGGACTCAGGTGCTGCTAGAGTGCAGGGTTGCCACGGAGGACCATGACCACATTTTCTTCCCACGATCCCATTTCCCAAATAAAAACAGACAGCTCGCCCGCCCTGTGGTTGGCATTTCCCTGCCCTGCCAGGGGAGCTGATGTTTCTGAGGGTCTTCTCAAGAGCAGAGATTTTTGACTGCAGCTGAAAGCCATCAAAGGGAGTAGCGCGAGAGGGAGGGACCCGGCTGGTTTCTGTAGCAGCCCCAGGCATCAGATAACTGGTCCAGGCGTATCATGGTTTTCTTCCACTCCCTTTTTTTGTAATCAGGGAAATATTTACCTCCTGATTCTTAGCCATAATATCAGAACCTGGGAGGCTCCGGGATGTAGTCATCCCTAATCTCTCCAAGCCAAGGAAACACCTCTGAGTGGGACTGCGGTCTTAAGTATGCCTTGGTGGCCCCACGCTGCATGTCAGGGCATGCGGTGGAGCTGATTTAGGTAGAGAAGATGCCTCTCCTTCTTTCCTGGCTCTTTCCTCCCTCTGTTCTCCTCGCAAGCAAGCTCCTTTTCAATCCTCTCCCGGTTCGGCTCCCTGAGTGCAAGGATGTCCCCAATGGATCGCTCAGTGGTTTAGGTTTCCGGCTGCGGAGCGAGGAGTTGGGAGTTTGATTCTCCCCCGGGCCTCCTTGAGAGGGGTTAGACTAGATGACCCAGAGGGTCCCTTCCAGCTCTGCCATTCTGAGATGAAGATGATATAGAATTGTGTCTTAACTGAAATACCATTACTTTTTTTGGTTGCAGCTCTAAAAATCCCCAGTTAGCTGGGAGATTACAGGGGTTGTCAACCTAAAAAGTGGTATTAACACGTTCTGATTTGGTGTAGATGAACAGAACGTGGCAGAGGAAAACAGTGCTCCAAATCTTCTTGTATTTTTTACCCTGATGTAACAAACGAGGTCTCCATCTCAAGCATGAATCGTTGGCATTTCCTAAGCCAATCGTTGGCATTTCCTAAGCTGGCACTGACTCTTTAATGGGTGACCATTTGCTGCTGAGATTTTATGCCAACTGCTTGATGGTGGCAGGAGGAACGAGTAAGGGGTTTGGATGGTTGCTTGCAAGTGAAAGCAAATGCCCCCAGTGCCCCCAGGGGTTGGTACCTGTCGAGGCTAAGAAGACGGAAGCTGGTGGTCACGCGAAACCTCTTTGACTGTTTCAATGAAAAAAGACCTGAACCTTTTGACAGTGAAATCAAGCAAATATTTGCAAGGACGGAAGTATCATGTTATTAGAAGATCAGTGCCCACCTATGTACAGTTTCACCCCTTTCTGCGCACCTTTTAGGGATCATGAAATATGCACAGCTCTGCCACCTTGTCTATGAAATACCTGCTTTGCTGTCAAAAGTGTCTCAAATCCAGCGACCGCTTGGGACGTTAAGATGCTTATTTATATAGCCAGCAGACCTGGGGCTTTTGAATTTCTTATTCTCCATCCCCCCAGAATTCCCCCAGCCAGTATTCTGAGGGTTCTAGCCAAAAGACCAAAGCCCAGAACATGTTTTCATGATCTTACCGATGGTTAAATAAAGGCTCTGGGAGCCATTTTTGTGCTGAAGAGAAAGGAGATCAAGGAAACGGATAGGTGGGGCCAAGCTCCATGGGAGCTGCAAGGAATTAGTGTCTGGTGGTCTTTGCCTATTACGCTCTGCAAAGGGTGCCTCTCAAAAAATTGCCAGACCCTTAATTCCTTGCAGATCCCAACGGAGCTTAGCTCCACCCACCGATTTCCCCTGTTTTCTTCGGAAGTTGAATATGGCTGCTAGACACCAAAATCATAGCGTGTAAGACACTAGCTGGGGGAATTTCTGTTGTATTCTGGGGCGCAGGTCCTTAGACATACAAACATCTCCTGCCTAATAGCCGGTCACACTCCTGGAAAGTCCAAAAAAGCCCAGGCACAACTGGATCAATCCCTATCCCCAAATTTGGAGCGAGTCTTTTCTAACGTTAATGACTCTTGATTGTCCATTCAAGACCATACCATCCTCAAATACTTTTCATGAGGATCACACCCAATGTTTGGAGCAGTATTCTGTTTCTTGGGGAGCCCATGGCCCTCCCAGCTGCTGTGAGGATTTCAGCTAAGCTCAGAGGGAAGAGAAAAGCCTGGAGGGGGTGGTAGAAGCCGGCGTAGTCTCTGCTACTTGGGAAATGACAGGGCTTCCAACCCTGTGAGCGGTGGCTGCCTTGCGCCACTGATCAAGCCTGAAAACCGTTCAAGGGAAGGTTCTGGGTCACGACTCTTTGGCTGCTGAGCTCCCGCAGATGTGGTGCCTGTTGGGACTGCTGCCACACCCATTTCTGTGTCCGCTTGCCATTTTCTAGGACCTGGTGGACTGGAGCAAACCTTTGCTGTGGCAGGTGGGCCATTTACGGGAGAAGTACGACGAATGGATACACCAGCCGGTGGATCGGCCCATCCGCTTGTTCCAGTCCGAGCTCATCGAGTCCCTCTCCAAAACAGCATGGTGAGGTTCTGGGGCGTGGTAGTCGCTCAGGGATCCTGGAGGATGGCGATGGTCACGGCAAGGGTTGCCGGTGCCTTGGCCCTCGCTCAGTAAATTTCAGCGGGTCATTAGCAGAGACGGCAGAAGTGACAAACTTCCTTCCAGTGTGGAAGGAAGCAGGGGGGGACCTGTGGTCGCTGAGCCAGCCCTGTCACAAAGGAAACAACGTCCCATCCTCACCAGAATCACCCAATGCCATCAGAACCAATTCCAAAGGAAAAGCCAGTTAATTTGTGAAATGTGGATGGAGACAAAGTTGTGTTTGTGTAAACTGCCCTTTCCAGCTGCGCGGCTTCTAGAGACACGGTTTGCATCTCATTCGATGGGGCACCAATTTCTCAAGCCCAAAAGACTCCTAATCGCATCTCTGCAACACGAACGCCGTGTGGCCATAAGCAGGGGCTCCCTGCAATGTACGTCTTTGCTCATGGCCCCAAAGTTCATGGCTAAGAAAGAGTCACTTTGCTACCTTCCGTTTAGATTTGCCCACAGGCCAGGCGCCAAGTCACCAACCCTCCTCCTGAGTCAGCAGAGGGTGGTTATTCATCCTAGGGGTCCGGATCACTTTTGATCTTTTTTTTCTTCCAGGTATATGGTCTGTGTGGTTTGGATCCCAGTGGTGCTCGGTTTCAGCTGGTATTCCTACACGTCTCTCGCTCAGGGCGAAACACGGCTGTTTTCTTCATTTACTACAGGTGACAATATTTGATCATCTAGTCCCTTCCTTCCTTCCTTCCTTCCTTCCTTCCTTCCTTCCTTCCTTCCTTCCAAGGCTGCCAAGGTGCCTTTTGCTGTCAATTTCTGGTATTGGTAGCAAAACCCAGGACGGTGGACAGATTCTCAAGTGGCAGTTTTTCTACACACAAGACAAAGAAAAAAATTAATCTAAGTGATTCAGTGCATCAGTGATAGTCTAGCAGAGGTTTTTTTTAAAAAAAACTGATTTCACTTCTCCCACCCCTCTGCTGATGAGCCATGGAAATGTTCAAATTGGCAGTGGAAGGAGCTGGAGGGTTGCTTGAGGTCAATATGCCACTTGGACATGAGGATCACACCCAATGGCATATCGCCCCTCACTCCAAACTCAAGCCACCCTTTTGAGAGTGGACCAGGTTGGCACCCAAAGGGCCAGTGTAGACGTGCCTTGAGTTAACCCTGATGAGAAGCCATTCCCTGAATTCTGTCCCATGGCATCTGATGGAGAAAAGATGGAGTGAAAGTTAAGGCTTGCTGCCCAAGGGAGGCAGTGCCTGGAGATGTTTGTAGTGTGGCTTTGACACCCCTTTTAAAAACAGGAAAAGCCACTTCTGGTGCTGACTCAAGGCTAAGGAGGGGGCAGGCAGGGAAGTGAATGAGGATGTTTGGCCCAGTTGCTCTCTTTCCTATTAATTCACCATGCAAGGCTTCTATATGTTGCCATTCGAAACTCTCTCTCTCTCTCTCTGTGTGTGTGTGTGTGTGTGTGTGACCGGGATGGAAACAATTGGCTGAATCACCTCTTAGTTGTTGTTTCAACATATACCACCCCATAATGCTATAGCACTCTCTGGGTGGTTTACAAGATAATGATGCAAGCCATACTTTGCCCCCAGCAAGCTGGATTTACTTAATTTACCGACCTTGGAAGATTGAAAGGCTGAGTCACCCTTGAGTTGGCTACTTGAACCTGTTGGGATCAAACTCAGGTTGTGTGAGCAGAGGCTTGACTGCAGGTTACTGCAGTCTAACTACTGCCCCATGGGGCTCTTTCCCCCCATTCATCTCCCTCCTGTCCTCTCATTAGCTGTCCATGGCTCTCCTCTTCCCCATCAGTAATCTGATGTATGTAATCATGTAATTATTACTTGAACCATTTGCTGCCCTTCTGCCAACAAGTGGCAAGCTATGATGAAAATAAAATAAATACAGATATAATGGAGACTTTTAAAAAAAAAATGTAAAAAAAGCACTGTTGCAGGCCAAATCATAGTAAAAGGAGGAGTAGCTGTGGTTAAATTGCAGTACTGCGGTCAAGCCTCTGCTCCTGATCTGAGTTTAATCCTGATGGGTTCAGGGAGATGGTCTGAGGGTGACTCAGTCTTCCATCCTTCTGAGGTTGATAAATGGGAGTACCCAGCTCATGGGTGGCGGGGAAAATGTGTAGCCTCCAAAGTTAAACTGTAAACTGCCCAGAGGGTGATTTAAGTGTGATGGGGTGGTACGTAAGCAGCACACTTTGCTTTTAAAAGCAGACCTCGTGAGGAAGATGCTTCTGCGTGCGGGTGGTACGCTTTCCCCCAGCGGCTGCGTTATGCCTGCAGCTCAAAATCCATGCTGCTTTGGAGGTGCAGGGCTTCCAGGCAGGCCCCAGAGATGGAGGCTGGGCACCCCATAGGCAAAGAAAGCTGCCCTTGTCTTCACAGCCCCCCCTCACACACACACACCGCCCTCGGCCAGTCTTTGCACAGAGGCCGGATTGTGCTGCGCAAGAGCTGGGCTTTCTTCTTCGCCGGCCTTCGGCTTGTGGCACCGGACAGTCTCCGGCAAGGTCTGCCCCTTGTTCCCGGCTGCGGAGGCTGTTTGGTACCAGCCTGGGCTGCTCCCTCATGGATTGGGGGGGGTCGGGGGGGTGTCTGTTTTCCATTCTCTTCCTTGCCCACACCCAGACAATGGGGCTGTTGGGATGGCTCGTGGCACAGCGCCAGACCCAGCCTCTCTGGCTGCCTCTCCTTTGGAGGCTGGGGCGCTTCAGGCGGCCACCAGCGGGACGTTGTGATATAACCCCAAGGGGATGATCCAGCACCAGGAGAAGGCCCATGCCTCTTCCCAAACTCTTTCTATTGCCTGCAGAACTGCCAGGAAGAGGGTAGCCCTTTGGACAGGGGTGACAGTGCAGGGGAGTTTGTTCGCTCGTTCGATCGATCGTTCATTCATTCTTCCTTCCTTCTTTCTTTCTTTCATTTTCCTTCCTTCCTTCCTTCCTTCCTTCCTTCCTTCCTTCATTCTTTCATTCTTCCTTCCTTCCTTCCTTCCTTCCTTCTTTCATTCTTTCATTAGGCACTTTAAAAGCACATATGAAGGTGTAGAGAGATGGGTTTTCCACCCAGAAGCCATTTTACCATCTATGCTGCCGCAGGAAAGCTGTGGTCTCTGATATTCACCAAACAGGTTGAATTGAAAAGGAAGTCAGAGACCAGGACTTGGAAAGGGGATCATGAGATCGGAGCAGGAAGTATGAACAATGGATACCCATTAGGTTAGCAGATCGTGGGGGACCTGAAAAGTGAATGCTAGCGTCTTAAATCAAACCTGGAAACCAAGATTGGTAGCTGAGCTGGTGGAGCAGGGGGGGAGTCTGAAACAACTGCCTCACTTCTTCCTACCAGCATGTTAGTGATGTGAACTGATGCCTTTCTGAACTGTCTTCAAGGGCCGGACCTTAAGAGAACATTGCAGTAGTCCAGCCTCAGTCTAACTGGTGAATGACTTCTGTGTTTCTCTTCTGAGCTGATGATTCAGAAAAAGATGATGAGGGATTGCTGGCCACGTCAAAGATTAGCACCACCACGAAGCTACAAAACTATATGTTTAGTCTTTTAGGGCCATGTGATTAGGCATGAAAGCAAAAGAGAGCCTCCTTATTTTGAGGCAGCCTACCCCTGAATACCAGGTGTTGGGGACTATCAGAGAGGATGGTTGCCTTTTTAGCCAATTCTGGGCTTTCTGGAAGAGATATTTGGCTAGCAGTGTTTGGAGACAGGAAGTGGGTTTCTTCGTGTCCTGCACTGGCAAGTTTTACTCCCTGCTCTCAGAGTCGTCCTTCCTCCTTCAATGCTTTGGGAGGTCCCACCGGCGTTGCTGATGAGCAAACCCACTTTCCCTTTCTTTTGTACAGCTTATTCCATCCACATCCACAAATACTATTTCCCGGTGCTCTTTATCGTGGGGATGTGTGTCTGGTCCTTCCTGGAATATTTAATCCATCGCTTTATCTTTCACATGAAGCCGCCGGCCAGCAATTACTATCTCATCACCTTGCATTTTATCCTGCACGGCCAGCATCATAAAGTAAGTGGGGCACCGTGGAAATCGGGGGGGGGGCTCTGGGGTGGGCTTGGGTTGCTTTGCAGCTTCTCTGTCTCTTGGAAAGCAAACCCTTGACGTCGGCAGCTGGGTGGAAAAGAGGTGGGGGCTGAGCCGTCCAGACTTGTAGATCATTTACCTGTCAGAAGGAAAGGGACCTCGTAGAGGGTGGATTCAACAAGGCGCCGTGCATCCGTGGAAGGCGTTTGTTTTGCACGGCCCTGGCATAGAGGTTTGCCATGCTGTAGGAAGAAGCATTTGGGTCTCTGACTGCGGAGCCAGAGGTTGGGAATTTGATTCCAGGAGCTGGACTTAGTGATCTATAGGGTCCCTTCGAGCTCTGCCATGCTAAGATGATGAGGACTCCTGTGGATATTTTTGCCTGATAAAAGCCAGATTTATGAATTAGAAGACACTGCCCTGCTTTTGGAAGTTGGAATCTTGGCCTGTTGCATTTTGCAATTATATGCATTTTTCATTTTATCATCTTAGCACGGCACGGGTGGAAAGAGACCCTCTGGGTCATCGGGTCCAATCCTCCAGTCTGGGAGACCTGGGGGGAATCGAGCTTCCAACCTCTGGCTCCACAGCCTTGGTTAATGTGTTCTGTGTCGCCTTAGAAACTTACACATCTAGTGGCACAGATGTTTATGGACACGGTTCACAGAAGCTTAAGGCAGAACAAATGTACTGATGCTCAGGAAGTGCGAGGAAAATGGCTTTTTTCTGAGTCAATGGACTAAGCAGCTTACATTCCTCCCCTGAAAAAATAAACAAGATTCCCCATTTCTCCTCTTGTATCAAGAACTATCATAGTGCACTGCCAGAAAGCCATAATTTGCAGGCAAAACATTCCTGGCTTGCATCTCCTCTCATCTCCAGCTAGATGTTGAAAAGACCCCTACCTGAACTATTAAGGAGCCCTTGGCTGAGGTATAGTAGAGTCCCCTACCACCTGTGACTACTTTCAGAAAAGTGAAGACTTCAAATCTCAAAGTAGCTAAGAGAGAAAGGAACTTTTGCAGGAGGAGTGAGTTGTTGCAAGCTCTGCCCGTTGTCATGTTCAGGATTTGAGGACAATTTGGTCTTGAATGGGCAATCAAGAGCCGTTAGCTTTACAAAAACCCTGCTCCTCAATGGTTGATGCAGACCGATCCATTTTTGGATTCTCCTTATTTGCAGGGAAAGCAGAGAGGGAGGGTGCACTTCCAAATGTATGACTACACTACTAGCTGCTTGGTCAAGAAGGAGGTTTTGAACTCTTTCCATGTGATGAAAGCTCCCAAGAACGGAGCGGGAAGAGTATTCTAGGAATGCGCACACATTAACATTTGCACATACAGAATAGGAGTTATTTTGCTGCATAATCCCACACAAGAAATAAATAAATACCCTTTCTTGTGTGGAATAATAATAATAAAAGACATCACGTTCTTCTACTGACCCCTGGTGTTGCCTTGAGCTGTACAT